CCAGCAGCAGGTGGCCTGAAAAGCTTACAAAGCAAAAAAGCCCTCCCCCCACTCCTGCAAACACAGCGCATGCCGAGTGACCGACACGGGCGCTGAGCGACAAAGGCAGCTCCAGAGGCCACAGTGCCGAGCGCTTGAGGCAACAGGTCTAGAGGAGCCTGCAGATCGGGAAGAGACTCTACCGGCGAGCGCACCGACAGGCAGCCACCGCACACGCCGGCGGCTTACAAAGCAAAAAAGCCCTCCCCCCACTCCTGCAAACACAGCGCATGCCGAGTGACCGACACGGGCGCTGAGCGACAAAGGCAGCTCCAGAGGCCACAGTGCCGAGCGCTTGAGGCAACAGGTCTAGAGGAGCCTGCAGATCGGGAAGAGACTCTACCGGCGAGCGCACCGACAGGCAGCCACCGCACACGCCGGCGAAGGATAGTGGGGAAGAGGAGGTGCCCAGCTCGGGAGAGCAGGAGAACCAGGTTCCAGAGTGGCCGGTTAGAAACTCCTTTCCCAAAGGGCTTGGCTCGCCAAACATGTCAGGAGCCAACAGCTGGACAACACATTGATCAAGGGCCCCGGCATTCCAAGCCCCCTGTGCAGCTAGTGTACCTGGGAACACCAGCTGGTCTCTCCCCCCAGCTAGGCATGAGGCTAATGAATTTGCAGGAGCAGCTCCCACTGCTGGGATGCTCTAGAAGTCCAGGTCCGGACAGTCACAGCCATAGCTGCAAGGAGTGAGAAGACATGTCTCAGCCTCTGGCGGTCAGAGGAAGAGGAGAAAGGAACACTAAGGAACTCGCTTGTGGACCATTCTAACTTTCAGAGTCAGGAAGAGCCCAGGTCCTTGGACAAAGACTGGACCCTCTCGCAAGTGATGAAAAGTAGCCACTGCCAAACCAGGCAGCTGGCCAGAGATTGACCCATAAATACTGAAGCCTTCAGCTTTCGTATGGCGGGGCAACTTTGAGGGAGACTACAAGTCCCAGCATGCAGTGGGCTCAGCAGACAACAACAGCTCCCCTCAGAAGCTTTGCATGATGGGAGTTGTAGTGCCCAGGCTGCCATACCTACATATTAAATGCTGCTGCAATCTACTCCCATTTTAAGCCATGAAGACAGAGTCCCTTGGGCTCCTGGTGAACAGATGACGCCCAAGTGGGCAGGCCGTAACAAAGGTATCTCCCCACCACTCTGTCCAGCTCACTGGCCCCATCCCACCTTGGCGATCAACTCAAGAGGATAAAGCTAGCGGAGGCTACAGTCCCCTTCTCCGCCCTGCAGCTTCTCCAGCTCCAACGACCGTACCAGCTCTTGCACGAACTTCATTTCTGAGGCCACCTGCTTGGCCAGAGTTTCGTAGCGGTTCTCCAGCTTCCGGTAGCGCCGTTTGAGCCCATTGGCCACCAGCAACGTGCTCTTGGTCTCCTCCTGGGTCTGCTTTTTCAGGGCCTCTGTCTTCTGCAGCTCCTGACGGATCTGGCGCAGGTCCTGGCTGATGCTCTCATTCTCCTCCTTGTACCACGATTCCTTCTCTTCGTAGATGGAGCGCAAGGCATCGATGTCCTCCCGGAAGGACTTCTTGTTCCGCTCCATCTCCCGGAGGCTCTCCTCTGCCGCAGCCACCTCCTCCAGCACCTTGGAGAAGCGCTCGAAGTTGATGTAGGTGTTGTTGGGAGGCATGCTGGAGTGGGACTTGATGGTGTACTCCTTGAGCCGAGTGGTCTTGAGACGCCGTCTCTCTGGCTTCTTGCCATTGTCTTCATTGCGGACGTTCCTCCGCTTGATCACCTGCAAGGAGAAGACGGGAACATTCAGTGCTCGGGTACCTTCCAGGGCCAATCCCTTTCCCCTCCCACTCCAGGCTGTGCCTTGGAACAGCCTGACAGCAAGCCCTGCAGTTGCATTCACAGGCTGTGTCTAGACGGGCCAGTTTTTCCGGAAAATCAGCCGCTTTTCCGAAAAAACTTGCCAGCTGTCTACACTGACCGCTTGAATTTCCACAAAAGCACTGACGATCTCATGTAAGATTGTCAGTGTTTTTGCAGAAATACTATGCTGCTCCCATTCGGGCAAAAGTCCTTTTGCGCAAAAGGGCCAGTGTAGACAGCTCGGATTTGTTTTCCGCAAAAAAGCCCCGATGGCAAAAATGGCGATCGGGGCTTTTTTGCGGAAAAGCGCGTCTAGATTGGCATGGACGCTTTTCGGCAAAAAGTGCTTTTGTGGAAAAGGGTCCGTGCCAATCTAGACGCTCTCTTCCGCAAATGCTTTTAACGAAAAACTTTTCTGTTAAAAGCATTCCCGGAAAATCATGCCAGTCTAGACGTAGCCACAGTGTATACGCCGTGCATGGTTCACGGCCAGCTCTCACATGCTGAAGTTCCACTACCACCATGGGGCATACAAATACGCATGGATAAGTGGCCACCGGTCCCCCACGCCACTGCCGGTAGAGAATTCCACACCATTGTTTTTCCCCTACCCATGCTTCAAACTTAGGCAGGAATCAGCTTCTTCTAGACCAAGTCAGCTACATCAGCTACACTGGAGAAAGTCCAGCAGAGGGCAACCAAAATGAGGAGGAGGCGGGAGCACATGACCTATGAGGAGAGGCTGAGGGATTTGGACTTGTTTAGTCTACAGAAGAAAAGAGTGAGGGGGGATTTGAAGCCTTCAACTTCCTGAAGGGAGGTTCCAAAGAGGATGGAGAGAGGCTGTTCTCAGTGGTGACGGTGGCAGAACAAGGAGCAATGGTCTCAAGTTGCAGTGGGGGAAGTCTAGATTGGATATTAGGAAAAACGATTTCACTAGGAGGGTGGGGAAGCACTGGGCTGGGTTCCCTAGGGAGGGGATGGATTCTCCATCCCTAGAGGTTTTTAAGGCCTGGCTTGACCAAGCCCTGGCTGGTTTGGGGTTGGTCCTGCCTTGGGCACGGGGTTGCACTCGATGACTCCTGAGGTCTCTTTCAGCCCTAGGATTCTATGATCTCTCTGTGCCGCTGGGGGAAACGAGAAGCAAACGCCTCTTGTCTTACGGGCTAGGCCACATGCTGTTGACAGAGCAATTTTCAGACACCAAGCTGAGCGGCTGACTCCGGGGGGGCCGAGGGCACGCCGTGCCGCTGGGGGAAACAAGAAGCAAATGCCTCTTATCTTACGGGCGAGGCCACATGCTGTTGACAGAGCAATTTTCAGACACCAAGCTGAGCGGCTGACTCCGGGGGGGCCGAGGGCACGCGGTGCCTGTCCAGGGGTGTTGCGCCGTTTGATACTTCTGGGACACGGAAGCCAGACCAACCCTGTATTTTTACCTTAATCCAGGGATGCTCCAGGCTCTGGGCAATCGTCATCCGCTTCCTGCAATGACATTAGGCCCGTTCGTTAGGCTACAGCCACTGGACCGAGCTTTCGGCACTCGGGTCACTAGGCTTCCGGCGAAATCCGCAGCCAAGAGAGATGGGCCCGTTATTCGCAGTCCCTGCTTGAATCCCACCCAGCGCCAGCCTCCCGCCCGCTGCCTTCTTCCCACACCGCACTGTGTCACGATTCCCCCTTCCTGCCCTGCAGGCCTAACCACCGCCCAATGCCAACCAGCTGCTCTGCTCCGTGCAGGATTCTGCAAGAGGGGAACTGGCTTTCAGAGCTGCCCAACGCCAACCAGCTGCTCTGCTCAGTGCAGGATTCCGCAAGAGGGGAACTGGCTTTCAGAGCTACTGCAACAGGAGTCAGGGAGACACCATAACCAGCCCAGCGGCTCCCTTGGAACCCGCACACCTGGAGCGGCTTGGGGGAGGAGCAGTTGCTTTTGCTTTGAGGCTACTGAGAGAGAGACTGGAGCCTTTGGATGGCAGATAAGCAGCAGTGAGAGGTTACAGGCATGAGAAAACAGCCTTTCTGGCTGACTGATGGCCTACAACACACCGGGAGTTTCAACCGACTGGTCTCGTACTTGGGATCTTTGACAAGCAGGCGCCGGATGAAGTCCTTGGCCAGCTCGCTGGTATTGCTGAAATACTCCTCGTCAAAGTCGTAGTTCACGGCGGAGATGTTCGTCAGCGTCTCCTGCTTCGTTTCGCCCAGGAAGGGAGAGGCGCCGCTGAGACTGCGGGGCGAGAGAAGACAGGTCCCATCAGACGCCGCCGCCAAATCTTGCCGCTCGCTCCCAAACACCAATTCGGCAGGCCTCACTCAACCCCGCCCCGAGGAACTAACATGGTTCCAGCAGCCGAGGCCAGAGTCACCGAGGGAGAAAGGCAGCAACCCAGTGCCAGAGCTGGGAATAGGACCCTCGAGTCCTGAATCCAACACTGTCTCCTGCATATTCATATACAGAGAGAATAATACTCACAGGATGTATGTGATGACCCCGATGCTCCTAGGAAAGAGCGAGAGGATGTAAGATCAATGTTTAGTCAAGTCTTTCTTCACCCCCGGCTTAAGTCTTTTAGTTTTTCTACCAGTGGGCACGTGATACTGACAGACCGGTCCACCCTGCCACCAGCTGTCCCCAAGATTCCACCGTTCCCTCAGCACAGACCTTCGCCCACAACAGGGAATCCGGGGCTGGGTTATTTCATTAGAACCTTCCGGGATGCACACGTCACCCGAGCCCCACTGAGGCATCAAGCAATGACAGGCCTAACCTGAATCCAGGCCTACAAACCCGACTCTCCCCCCAAATGCTCGATTTAGCGGCATCAAGACCAGCCAGTCCAAGCCAGAGAGATGGGTGCGGTCCACCAGGAATGAAAGGCCTGCTCTCTTCAGCGAGGGAGGAATCACAGAACCAGGAATCGAGTGATTACCTGGGACAACACACAGGCACCGGAGCGGGACAAAAAGACAAAGGGAGGGAATGAGATGGGGACATGCAGCAGACAGCAATGGGGTCAGCAGGTGCCTGCCACAACACTCCCGGGATTCGGGACACAAACAGCCTCCCGGATGCAGAATTCCCTCCTCCTGGACTGATGGCCAGTGTCAGCCGACAGCCCGGCAGACTGTAGCAACCTGTTCATCTACAAGAACACGCCACACGCACATTAGCGCCGCAAGCCAGCACATGGGCAGTGTACGGCCCGGGCAGCATGCGGCCTGCTTCCTTCACACTGCCCACGCAGCACACCCCACTTTTGGCTTAGGGGGACTCCCTTCCAGCAAAAAATGGCAGCTCAGTCTCCAGGCGCATTTCATTCTCGGTCTATCGAAGGAATCCGCCGGCAGGTGGCTACCAGAGAGGGGATGCAAGCACCTGCCCGCTAAGAACTGGGCCAAAGCCCCGCCCCACGCCAAGAGCTGTTCTACGATGGGCCCGTGTTTCCGTTGGAGAGCCCAGTCTACTCACCACATGTCAGCCTCCAGTCCCAAGGGCTCGTAGTTCACTATTTCTGGGGCTTTAGAAGGAGAAGGAGAGAGACACGATGTTATGGGGCAGGAAGAATCCACTGCAAGCAGCTTCTTTCACCTTGGGCAAGGACTCAAGCCCTCGCCCCGTGAGCTGTGGTGATACTGGACATGCCCAAGAGAAAAGGTACCAAATATTGCCCTGATCAGGGCTGCACCAGCAGCTTTCTTGGTCCCAGGGCTGTCTCGGACACATAGCTGGTGGAGCCCACGGCAGCTCCCTA